CATCTGACATGTCCTCACCGACAAAGATCTTGAAGCTCGAAATTTTCGACCGCCACACGCATCGAGGGCGAATCGTGTTCAAAATGGGGCTGTCGCCCTGGCGCCGCGCACAATTTTGGTCAGCGGCAGCAAGCAGACAGACGGCGGTCGATAATGCGCTGGGACACAGGCAGGCTAATTGAAACACAAGCAGGAGCGCGAGAAGGAGGGGGCCGGAGGAAGGCCTGGGGGCCGGGGGATCCCACGCTCAGGCCGTGAAGACCGCTGCGTGCGTGCCGTCGTGCACGAACAAGACGCCCAGGAACGAACGAGGTCGAAAACCTTGTGGGCACGGCGCGTGGGCGAGGCCGAAAACGAAGCACCGGGAAAGGCGACCAAGGCAAGGTGAGGAAGAAAACCAGGTAAGGCCACCGCACGTGAAGTCATGGGATTACCAGATGAGGACTACTTATTGCCCAAGGCAACAAGTCATAACACCATAGCGCAGCCAACGACGAACAGGGTCGGCAGAATCTGGTGCTGCAACTGGGACAGCGGAACCCCGAGCAGGGTAAAATGGAGGGCCACGGACAAAATGAACGATGACCAAAGAGGGGAATCCACGTGGGAACCGACGACTTGGACGAAGAGCTCCACCGAGAACACTGGCGCCAGGCATGGCCGCACAGCGCGGGGGCAGCACGGAGGCTGCGGTCAGACAGCTGGCCGACTGACGAAGCGCTGGGAAGCGCCCGCGGGGGGGAGGGGGGAGGGAGGAGAAGAGGGGAAGCGGGGAGGGGGCATCGGAGAGCGCCCACCGCGCTCAGGGCACAGTACAGGTGACCAGGGGCCCCCAGGACACGGCCAAGGTGGAGACGACCAGCAGCTGAGCACCAGGGAGGCAAAAAGCCGTAGCCTGGGAAATGGGATATGAAGCGCGCGAACGTCACCAGCTCCAGGCCCAGGGAAGCCCATCCCCAAGCGGCCACAGCACACAGCGTGTGAGCGACCAGGAGCGTGGGGCGCTGCCGGAACCGCCCCCAAGGCCAGGAAGGCCCTCACCCACTGGGCCGCACCTTGCGAAGCGGAAGAGTCCAGGACCAAGGGAGCAAAGCCCAGGCGCAAGCGGCGGTGCAACAGGACGAAAACGAGCAACGACCAACACGCAGCAGGTCCAAGGACGAGCGAGCCCAGGGCCAGGGGGCCGAACGTCACCCGGACCGCGGGGTACACTGGGCGTGTCTTCTGCACTGCCAACCTCCGCGCTCGTCCGGCTTCAGGTCGGCGCGGGTCCTCAGACGTTCGTGGGTAGAACACCTCGCCCGAAAGCCCACCTGCTCCCGGCACGCCGCGAATGCTGGAACGTCCATCAGCCCACCGCCAGAGGCCTCCCTGAGGTCCCCAGCACGCCTGCGCGCAGCGCCTGCCCCGTCCGCCGCGGTCCTCAGGGCCCTGGGCACGGAGAGCGATGGCCTCCACGTCGGCCGTGCACGGCTGCAGGATGGACTGCCAGGAGCACCGTCGACCAGGGCACCGGGCTGAGCGGCGCGCTGGGCGGCGCGGGCGTGGTTTGGGCTAGGGGAGCCGGGCGCGCCGTCGGCGCACAGACTGGCGCGGGCGTGGCTGGGGCCAGGGGAGCCAGGCGAGTATCGGCCTTCAGCCACCAGTCGGCGGATGCGGCGTTTGCCACCCGGGAAGCGACTGCGTCCGCGGTGTCTGCCCGCGCGCCGTCGTCGCCACAAGCCCCTGCCGTCTGTACGGAGCACCCGAAGAGCAGAGAGGGGCCGTTTGGGCCCCCGCACGGCGCCCCACGGATGGGCTCAAGGCAGGCCACGCGTTGGATATTTCCGGAAGGGGCTGATTCGTCACGGTCGAAATCAAGCGGCTGCGCTGGCCCTGCGAGAGCATCAGGGCCATGGGACGAGCCAGGGCGACACGGAACGGAACGCGAACCAGGGACAAAAGCTGCGCCTCCCAGATCGGCAGCGGCTGCTGAGGAGTGCCCATTCCAGGGCCGTGGGCTGCCAGGTGCCTCGTCTTTTTCCCTCGGAGGCCCCGCCCCCGTCACCCCAACCCTCGCCCCGCCCAGGGTCCATGGGTTGTTCCCGCGAGTCGGCTGCAGGCGAAATGGCAATGCCTCCCATGCCTTGCGCCAGGGCCGCTTGGACGTCAACGCCCTCGTCTCGCCGAGGGTCGTCTTATTGCTCCTCCGGGTTGGCTCCAAGTGACATACCACAGTCTCCCGCATTCTGCGCCAGGGCCGCTTGGACGTCAACGCGCTCGTCTCGCCCAGGGTGTCTCTGCTCTTGTCCCGAATCGGTGACGTGGCAAAGCCTCCCGTATCCTGAGCCACGGTCGCTTGGGCGTCGACGGGGCCACCAAGGCGGCAGAAAACCGAAACCTCGGGAGTGACAGGCACGCACAGGTCATCGCCCCCAGGGCGGCGAAAGACCGAAGGCTCTGATGGTCGAATCGTGCGCGTGCCAACAGAGCCAGGGCGGGACAGGGCTGGATCGGCCCCTCCGAGGGCACGCCCGGACCAAGATTTCGAGGCGAGCCCAAACGCGGCGACACGGGAAGCGCTCCCCCACCCCCAGGGTCGCGTCATCCGGGTTCTCTTGCTTGGCGTCGCGCAGAGGGGGTGTGGGGCAGGGGCAAGGCTTCTTAGAAGCACGCCCGCTCTTTAGAAGGCACCGGCCCTACATCTATAGACAAGGCCAGCGCCTTCAAAGAAGCAAGGGTGCTTCTAAGAAGCTTTCCCCCCTCCCCTTGTCCTCGTTGTCCCCCTTCTGCGCGTGGCCGACTTGCTGCCTCCCTGGGTCGGCAGGAGGCCCGCGGTCATCCGACGCCCCGATGCGACCAGGCCTGTCACCAGCGAGGGGCCCGAGATGTTCGCGAGTGGAGGCCGCCAGTGCGCACCCCCCGCAGGCGCGGCTATCTGCGAGGTTCCCTTCGCCGCGGGCAGCCGCCTGAGGCGGCTCCGGCAGCAGACGGCCGTACCTGGGACGGAAGAACATCCTTCAAGAACATGAGACCCTCCGCCAGCCAAAACACCCCAAACCGGAGGATCACTCGAGTGTACTTTCCGCCGGGACCGGAACCTCTGGCGGTCGAATCGAGTGCGTGCCAGCAGAGCCAGGGCGGGGCATGACCGAATCGGCCTCTCCGAAGGCACGCCCGGACCAAGATTTCGAGGCGAGCCCAACCGCGGCGCCAGGGGGAGCGCCCTCATCATCCAGGGTCCCGTCCTCCGGCCCGTTCTCGCGCACTGGTTCCAGAATTACAGCTGATCGTCTTGGGCTCCAGCTTCGCCTCCCGCATCTGCCTGAAAGAGTAGGCATCGCGCACACGAATTCCAGAGTGATAGCTGATCGTGTCGGGCTCCAGCTTAGGCTCCCACGTCTGCCCTAGATCGACGAGATTGAACGTGATGACTCCCAAGAGGTACCTGATGGCCTCGGGTTCCTGCTTCGCCCCCCACACTTGCCCGAGTTTGCTGGCTCCTCACTCGCTGATTCCTGCGCGGTAGCTAATCGCCTCAAATGCCAGCCCCGCCCAGCCGTCCACGCCTGCCGGGATTCGATGACTTCGCACGCGCTGGTTCTGAGGTTGTGGCTGAAAGTATCGGGCTCCAGCTTCGCCTCCCGCATCCGCGGGAGAGCGCAGGAGCAAGGCTGGCCGCGCTGGCGACGAAACCGTACAGCAGACAAGCTCTGAGATGCCACCACCCGCGAGATCAACACGCATGCCCGCCTCCAGGAGTGCCTGAACCTCCTCGTCATCGTCGTCCGCCTCCGTCGCTGCCGCCGTCGCCCCCGCCGTCCACCCCAGCACTTCCACGTCCATCCGCTACTCCACCTCCTTGTTGTCGTGAGAATTTCGGACGGCGAGGGGCGCCCCCTCCGCTCCGGCCTCGGCGGCACCTCCAGTTGCCACTGGCGGCTCGGCAAGCCCAGCCGCGGCAGCAGCAGCGGCCCCCGCGGAGGCCTCGGTCACTTCCCAAGGTCGAGGACACGACGCAGCCAGCCGCGTCGGCAGCGACGGCGGCGACAGCGGCGCCCGCACCAGGCGGGACGCTGCAACCAGGGCCGCCGAGAAGGCCGCCGCGGCAGCAGCAGGCGGAGCAGCCCAGGGGAGAGCTGCGGTGGCCACTGCCACAGCGGCGTCGGCGGCCGCCGAAGTAGCGCGGCCGAAGGCCGAAGCCGCGGCCACGTCAGGAGCGTCGGCGGCGCAGTCCGCAGCGAGAGGCGACGTCCAGGCCGCTGGCCGTCGCCGCCGCCTCCGCCGTCGGATCGCTGGCAGCGTCAGCAAGAGCGGCGGCGGCGTCGCAGTCGCCGCCCTCCCCCGCCGCCGCCAGCGGCAGTGCTGGCAGCAGCAGCAGCAGCAGCAGCAGCGACAGCAGCAACGGGCGCGGCAACGGCAGCAGCCGGACGGCGGGAACGCCGCTGAGCCGCCGCCAGCCTCGTCAAGAGGGGAGGCAGCAGCAGCAGCAGCACCCGTGCCGAGCCGGCCGCCAGCCGCCGCGGGAAGTTCGAACGCCAGGCCTGGCGATCTCCTCCTCCTCCTCCTCCTCCTCCTCCTCCTCCTCCTCCTCCTCCTCCTCCTCCTCCTCCTCCTCCTCCTCCTCCTCCTCCCCACCTTCCCGTGGCCTTCTCCTGGAGCTTTGACTCGCCAGGGAGCCGGTGGCCGTCGTAGAAGCCGCGGTCCACAAGCTCCTGAGCAATCTGAGAGGGTCTCTGGAGACAGAAAAATTCATACATTCTCGATACTCGCTCAACGCGGATCCCCAGACCCCTCCTGGGATCCATCCTGGCCAGCTTCCCGTCCCGGATCGACTTCTGACGGTGCCCGAGACGGGCCCCGCCGAGATCAATGTTAAACCTCTGGGTCGATTTTTGACATCCTCGATCCGTCGGCCGGAAGAAGTGGGTAGAAGCACGAAGTAGGCAGGCGGTGGATATAGATAGGGTGTCCGCATGCCCCCTGAAGAGGAGGGAAGAGGGGAACACACTCGATCATTGAAGTAGGAAGGCGCCTAAAGTAGAGTGGAATCGGAGGATCCAAAAGTACCTACGTTCAACGACCGACGAGTAGACCTATCCTCATCATTACTGGGAAGGCCTTGGCCCCGCTGTCCGACCACCACCCCCTGTTGCGTGGGAGAGGTGCCCTCTCCGTCGGCTCTCGAGGCATCCGCCCCCACCTCGAGGGGGCAGACTGGTGGCGCTGACGAACCCTGGCCCACCGAGGAAGGGGATGGGTCTGACGATGCGGAATCCCACCAGCCCTTTGGGGCGTGAGTGGTTCAGACCGGTTCTTCTTCCAACCCTCCGTCTTCCCCCTCGGGGAGGGGTTTACCCCTCCCCAGTGCCCCCTCCCCTGGACCTGGACGGGGGGTCCGCGACACGTTGGGGCGTCCAAGACGGCCTCGGCGAGAAGGCAAAAATCACTGGTTCCACTAAGGTGTTGGGCCCATTTTGGCCTCCTGGGGGCGGCCTGATTGAACCCCGCCCTTCTTTGATCAATCACCTCCAAGATGGCCCCAAGATGGCCCCGAGGCACCCAAGAGTGCCCCAAGAGGGTCCCAAAAGTCGCCCAGGAGGCCCCAAGAGGCCTCGAGAGGCCCCCGATAGGTTCCCAAGACATGCCCACTAGACCTCCAAGAGGCCCCAAGAGGCTCCCCCGAGGCACCCAAGACGCTCCATGCAGGCAACTCCTCCCTGTCGCACCCCGAGGCCAGTCGAAAAGGCGGGCCGGGCGTTTCGCCGGAGATTTCCTCACCATTTATGATCCTAAAGCTTACAAGTTGGCAACAGTTTCACAGACGGAGGTCGGGTGGCTTTCAAAATGCGGCTCTCGCCTTAGCGCCGCGCTTCGTCGAACAACAATGCCAGAGCTTGACGGATTGAGGGCGGGTGGTTTTCGAAATGTGGTTCTCGCGTTAACGCCGCGCACATCCGCCTTCAAACATGGCAAAAGCTTTAAGGATTGAGGGCGATTCCTTTTCGAAATGTGGCTCTCGCCTTAGCGCCGCAAAAAATCGTCTTAACATCTGCAAGAGCTTAACGGATTGAGAGCGGCTCTTTCTCGAAATGTTGTTCTCGCCTTAGCACCGTACACAATCATTCGAACAAATTGCAAGAGTGTGACGGGTTTGCATGGTTAACGTACCAGAAATTGTGTTCAAGGCGCAACAGGTATGCTGATTCGCGGTGTTGAAGTCCCAGGGATGGTGTTGTGGCACGATTCACGATCGTCACGCCGCAACGGTCAGGTTGATTCGTGGCGTTGGAGTCCCGAGAATTACATTGCGTTTTGGCAATGGACATAAATCCTTCCAGGGGCCTATGGATAGGGAGCTTAGACAGAGGGTTGATTACCGCATCGTTGATGAGTCTTGGGTTTACACTGGTCCTCCTCCCCCTCCTCCGTAGCCATTTTGGCTCAAGCCGCGGTCCCCGCTTTCTCCGCAGCCTTTTCGCCCATGGCCGGTGGCGTGCTGCTGGCGGCAAGCTAAGGAGAGCTGGAACGAGATGGCTGTACGGGATGAGGCCCTGCAGGTGGCCTTGTGGGACGCCCAGCCGCGGCGCGGCACACTGCGAGGGCTCTGGCGGCGCTCGTTGCGGATGGGGCCATTCGGCGGCTGCAGCGGCAGTTGGCGCAGGCCTTTGCCGCGGCCGATGGGCTGCGGGCTGAGCTGAGCGCGCTGCGGGCGGTACCTAGCGGCTGCGACGAAGTGGAAGGGCGTGTTGGTCTCATCGTTCCCGTTCTTGCTGCTGCAATCGCAGACGCTGACGTGCCGCCGGCTGTGGTGGCGCGCCACAAACTCGCGGCCCACGAGTTCGGCATGCCAGCTTCGCAGATTGCTTCTGCGAGCCTGCCCGAGCTCAACCGTCTTCAACGCCAGGGTGCTGCAGGACGTCGTCGTCGCAGGAGGCGCCTTCCTCATGGTGCCGACACGGTGGACGTTGCTGGCGAGGTTGCGAACCCGACCTTCGACTCGGTGGAGGGTGCGTCCTGCTCGTCGGATGCTGCCGCGGCGTGATTTCCTGTGCTCTGCACGTGCGGCGTCATGCTGTATTCCGCTGATGTTCATCGACGTTGCGCGGCATCTGGGGCAGCAGCTGAGTCGACTGATGATTTCTGTGTTAGCAGTGGCGGCCATGAAGAAGACATGGGCGACGATCTCTCGGAGGTTGTGGTTGCTGATGTTCGTGCTGGACACGTGCTCCGTGCGGATGCTCCAGCTTTCGTGCCGCGGCGAGCGATGGAATGCCCCACGTGCGAAAGGGACTTGTAAGAGCCCGTCGGCGATGCCATCATGAAGGATGGGCCCCGCGAGGGCGAAGGGCAGCAGTGGAGGGCGGCGGCTGGCAGTGCTGAGGCTGCTGCGGCGCCAACGAAGCAGAAGGGTCGCTTTCGGGAGCTGCTGGAGAAGGCCGAACGCGAGGTCTGCGCCCCCCTCCCCCCGTGTTCATGGACGAGCTCTTCGGCCACAGGTGACGCTGCTCCTCGGGATCGCGTTGCTCCTGCGTTTCTGCGTCTCCGTGGTCCACGTCACGGTCGGGGGCCAGCGCTGGTCAGGTCCAGCGCTGGCCCCCGCGGCGCGCACGTGCGTGCAAATCCAAGCCATTCCAGCCATTCCTTCTCCTCCTCCTCCTCCTCCTCCTCCTCCTCCTCCTCCTCCTCCTCCTCTTCCTCTTCCTCTTCCTCTTCCTCTTCCTCCTCTTCCTCCTCCTCCTCCGCCTCCTCCTGGGTTGTTGGGTTACTCGTTGGGCAGTGTACCGTACAAGCACAGCACACTGCGGGGGAAAATACACCGATTTCCTCAACGCAATCAGTTCACGGCCCGCGGGTGGGAGGGCGATTGAACTGGTTATAGAAAGCTGGGTGCCTGACAGGAGCCTTCTCTTGAGTTTCCTGCGTTCGGGCAAAACCCTCCCGCCACAAGGTCCTCTGAGCTGTGGGCCCGCTATGAAGGTAGTGAACGCACCACAGCTGGTGCAATGCAACAAGGAGCATTCAGCTCTCGACCCCAGCAACGTTGAGTTTGTAGTGGCCCCTGGGGCCCTTCAAAAAAACAAACCAGCGAGGGGTGCAGACCAGCACGTTCCCTCCTCTTCCTGTTCCTCCTCTTATTCCTCCTCCTACTCCTCCTCATCCTCTTCCTCCTCCTCCTTCTAATCCTCATCCGCATCCTCATCCCCATCCCTATCCCCATACTCCTCATCATCCTCCGATCCTCCCCATCATCATCATCATTATAATCAGCATCCTCCCCATTACCGTCATCGGCATCCACATCATCATCCGCATCATCACCATCATCATCAGCATCATCAGACTCAACCTCATCAGCATCCTTATCCTCATCCTCATCATCCTGCTTCTCCACCTCCTCCCCCTTCCCTCCCTCCCTCCCTCCCTCCCTTTTCGCCCTCCCTCCCCCACTCCCTCCTCCTCCTCCTCCTCCTCCTCCTCCTCCTCCTCCTCCTCCTCCTCCTCCTCCTCCTCCTCATCCTGCTCCTGCTGTTGTTGCTGTTGCTGCTTGCTGCTGCGTGCTGCTGCTTGCTGCTGCCTGCTGCTGCTGCCTGCTGCTGCCTGCTGCCTGCTGCCGGATGGTGCTGATGCTGTTGCTGCTGCTGCCGCTTGGTCGAACTATGGTTTTCGGACGAGCGAATCGGGTTTCGAAATCAGGCGGTCGGCCTGTGGAACCGACGATGGCAGGTTACGCCACCCCTGCTCGCCTGGGCAAAAAAAAAAAACAGCTATAGTGCATCATCGTCGTCGTTTACCGAACGGATCAGAATAATGCTGCGTTCGCTGAGGATTCCTATGGCCCAGAGGCGCGTACAACAGCCTAGCGTGAGGATTTGTCCGAGGGCAGCTGGGAACGCGAGGTACGACAGCGTACATGCAACGAAGCTCCTCACAAGGTTAAGGAGGGCACAGCAAAATGTTGGATTCAGATTCAGAAAGAGAGAGAGAGAGAGAGAGAGAGAGAGAGAGAGAAAGAGAGAGAGAGAGAAAGAAACAAACAGAACAAAAAAAAAAAAAGGAAACAAGGGAGGGCAAAACCCTGACAGCACAGAGAAAATGCTGGTGTTGCTGTTGCTGCACCCACCCAGAAGAGAAAACGCAGCAACAAATCAAGCAAATATCATACGTCCGAAGAACAGCGAAGCGAGATCGCTCAGCCACCCCCACAATAGCATCGCGGCCTCCAGGGTAAGCTGCACGACGCACGACGTCCGAGGTGATGGCAAACGGGGTCCAGCACACGACGAGCATCACGGAAGTGGCAGCTGTAGGTGACCGCTCCACCTTTGCATATTTGCCCGCGTTCGTGAATTCAGGTAGATCGTCATCCTTCAGGATTGTGTTCCAATCGGACTGCTTGACCTTCACCAGGCTGCCCACGGCTTTGCAGAACTCGTTCGGGGACTTCGGGCACGAGTTGAAGTCCTCCGACGGGGCCATGTCCTGCAGAATCTCATTCACGGCTTTCTGCTATGCTTTCTTGGTTTCTTCGGGCGTGGCTGACTGCGGCATCTCGAGTTTGAGGCTTCCTCTCACAACCGGTGTAACGGGCACGGCGGGTTCCTGCTTGGCGGTGGCAATGTCGATCATGGTCTGCTGCATGTCGGCTAGCTGATTACGCTTAGTGTCCACGTCGGGCTTTGACGATGAATGTTTCTGTTTACCTTGTCTCTTGGCTTTCCATATCGCGGCAGCTGCTTCCGCAATGCACTTGAGGTTGATGTTGCTGCTGGAACTGTTCGAGTGGCTCGGGGCTAACCTTGACGCGGACATGCTGGAAACTGCAGTGTTACTTCCTTGGGCCTTGAGCTTGAAATTGGTGAACTTGACGAACTCGAAACGGTCCCAATCCGACTTGTGCCGGTAAGCGTAGGATGTTGACCGCCAATGACTCATAAGCAACAACCATTGTTGAGCCACTCCGAGCAATAGGGAATAACATGAAACTTCAACTCGAGCAACTTCGCCATACTCGAGATCTTAATCGGTCATACCAATCACCACGTTCTTGACCGGTTGATCGGAAGTCTTCGTAAAACCGGAATGCAGGCCCCAAAGCATGGCATCAGTTAACTGCGCATGCACCTGTGGCTCTGCCAAAATACCAAATTGAAGGTTCTGAATAGAAGGCTGTTTAAAGAACACCACTATCATATTTGAAATCATGTCCGCGCCAGCACTGTCAGAAAAAGAAGCCATTGCACGCCACCGATCGGAATCTGCATGGTCCTGTAGCACTGCAGCTTGTAGCATAGGCTTGCTGGCACGTAAGAGGAATCGAATCCAGTGTTCCTTATGCTGAAATCGCCGAAAAACGTCCAGCCCTTGTAGCGCAGACAAATGTGCGCGGGGTATCCACGCCGTGTGAGCGGGTTTGCCAGCCATACTCCAGTGTGCAAGCGTACAGCGTACTGAATTCGAAAAATGCAGGCGGTGGTCATGACCATCTCGTCGAAGCATATACGAGGTGGCCAAAACAGAAATAACATGTCCATTGCCTCGGGCACGGTCGTAACACGGAAGATCCAAAAAGTCAACGACGTGTTCCAGTAACTGCGTACCTGATAGTGCATACAGTGCGTGCTGGAGTCGGAGTAGAGGTACAGCACGGAGAACAGCTTGGATACGCAACGTGGTGATATCCATCGCAAGGTTGGAATGAAAGAATCTGCCAGGCACACATGTGGGCGTCGAACTCCCACACTGTGTGGCCGTCGAAATGCTCAACAGGAAATTTTGGCGCCGAAACCCACAAGAGGGAACATCAGCGTGCTGCTTGGTCGAGCGATGGTTTTCGTCCGGACGAGTCGGGTTCGAAATCAGGCGGTCGGCCTCTGGAACCGACGATGGCAGGTTACGCCACCTCTGCTCGCCTGGGCAAAAAACAGCTATAGTGCATCATCGTCGTCGTTGACCGAACGGATCAGAATGATGCTGAGTTCGTTGAGGGCTCCTATGGCCCAGGGGCGCGTACGAAAGCCTAGCGTGAGGAGTCTTCCGAAGGCAGCTAGGAGCGTGAGGTACGACAGCGTACATGCAATGAAGCTCCGCACAAGCTTAAAGAGGGCACAGCAAATTGTTGGATTCAGAGTCAATGAAGGAGAGATAGGAGAGAGAGATAGAGAGGAACAAAAAAAAAAAAAAAAAAAACGGCAAGACAAGGAAGGGCAAATCACTGACATCACAGACAAACTGCTGGTGGTGCTGCTGCTGCTGTTACTGCTCCTGCTGCCTGCTGCTCCTGCTGCCTGCTGCCTGCTGTCTGTTGCTGCTGCTGCTGCTGCTGCTGCTGCTGCTGCTGTTGCCTGCAGCCTGCTGCTGCTGCTGCTGCTGCTGCTGCCGCTGCTGCTGCCGCTGCTGCTGCTGTTCCGTTTCCTCCTCCATTCTCCCCCCCTTGGGGTACGACGTCTTACCCAGCCCTTCCTTCTACTGCATTCTCCCCCACATCCCTGATCAGGGCAACTCGCCCGGGCATCGTTTCTGGATGGGCTGGTGGGGTTACGCGAAGCGTCTAGCATAGCCCCCGATCCTCCTCCCCGCCCATACAGGCTCCAGGAAGCGGGCGGCCCCCAGCGGCGCCCACTCGCCGTGGACAGCGATCACAGCCGTACCGTTGCCACCTCCAGCCAGGTTGTCCAGCGCCAGCTCGACCAGCACTGGGCCTGGGGCCTTAGTCGATGGAGGGATCGGCAGCCACATGTGAACCCTACTCCATCAGGTTAGGTTCCTGACACATCGGCGGGGGTTCAGAATACGAAGGATGTCTGCAGCCAAGGGACACCCAGCGGAGGAGTTCGACACAAGAGGGTCGATTGGACACGCAGGGTGTTGGTTTCGCAACTGGCCGCTGGCTGAAAGGGGAGGGAGGGGGGAAAGAGGACGACGAGGGGGAGGAGGGGGAGGGGGGAGGAGGGGGAGGAGGAAGAGAAGGAGGAGGAGGAGGAGGAGGAGGAGGAGGAGGAGGAGGAGGAAGAGGAGGATAAGAAGGACGAGGAAGAAGAGGCCACCAAGGCTTTGCCCGAGCGACTGCTGAAGGGGGCAGCTAGAATTGGAGACCCCCTGGGGAGGCGGAGCCCCCGCGCCACCACCTACCCGCTCCTGCACCTCCTTGGATAGAAAAACTGCATGGACATCAACTTTCGGAGGTCCACGCGGATCTCTTGGATCGGCGCTGGACGGCTGACGACGGACGACGGACGACGGACGGACGGACGGGCGGACGAACGAACGAACCGCCGCCGCCGCCGCCGGACGGACGGACGGACGGACGGACGACGACGACAACGACGACGACGACAACGGCGGCGGCGGGCGGCGGCGGGCGGCGACGACGACCGCGGCGCCGACGACAGAAGGATGGCGGACGCCGCGGCCTCGCTCGCCAGCGCCGCCGCGGGCGAGAGCTCGTCGAGCCCCGCGCGCAGCGGCGAGGCCGCCGCGGCCGCCAGCAGGGCGGCGCGGGCACCCGCCGCGAGGCCCATCGCAAGCAGGCACACGGAAGCACGCCGTCACCGCGGAGGCTTTGGGAAGCAACTCCTGGAAGGTGTCTGTCAGATCGGCAGGTACTGACGATAGGGATGCGCGATAAGGATGCAAGCCCCCTGGGCGCCCGTGTCAGTTTTTTCGAGCGGGGCTGGCCATCGAACGTGGTTAGGATGGGCCGAAGAGGCACGGATGCAAGGGTACCCTTGGGAAGGTCACCCATCCTTACTGTCGGTTTCGGCTGTATTGCGGTTGGGAACTTTTGCTTAGCAAGCGGATGGTGTGTCGCTTCGCTCCGCGGGGCTGGAGGCCAGGAAAAGCTCAGGACGCTGAAGCCTGGGACTGGGAAGTGGATAGCGTGTCGCCCCGAAGCGTGGTGGACCAGAACTGGCGTAGCGACACGCTATCCAAACATTTCTGACTGCAACCCCGATTAAGGGGCCACTGAGCCAGATTGGGCCAGATCCGGCTCAGGATTGAGCGGGATTTCGCCAGACTACGCGGTGTTAGCCCCGATGAGGCCGGTTTCCGACCAGGGATATACTAGCGCCGATTCTGAAGTTAACCTCCCAGGAGTTGCATCCTGACGGAGGCACGCTGTCACCACGCAGGCATGCCAGCGGCGCGGAGGCCGCCAGGCGTGCCCTGGTCGGCTCGAGGTCGCGGCGGGCCCCCGACACTGAGACCTGGGCGTCGCGATCTCTGTCATACCCGGCGTCTGCGCCGGGACTGAGGCCTGGGCTTCGCGATCTTCGTTGCACCTGGCGTCTGCGCCCTGGGGCCCTCCTCGCAGATCGATCGGGCTCGAGAGATGATAAGCAAAAAGTGCCCCTAATCCTTTTGGGGGGGACCCAAGTTAGAAGGGCCGAACCAATTAGGGATATAAATATGTTCTGCAAATGTATCAGACCGAACCGCCCATGTCGAATGTCCCGAATGCAAAGACGGGGAGCTCAGTGAAGCTACGTCTACATCATGTTATTGGGGTGAGGGGTTCTGTTGTCCTCGGTCTAGAAATGCAGCCGCAAGGTGGGGTCTGGGGCTCCGGTCGTGACTTCGGGCGTGGACAGAACTCCATCTGGCGAAACACTTCTTTGTTCGCAGCGCCGGCGGACGCGAGCGCGACTGCAGAGCCGGCGGGACGCGCCCGGCACTGGGGCGCACCAGAGCGGGTGGAGAAGCCAGGTGGCGACATCCGAACCCTGCCGTCGATTCTCCTGAATCGATGGGAGGCGGGGGGCCCGGGGTGGGGTTCGGATTTCGCCACATGCTCGCCCATCGTGTTGCCTGAACCGCTGATCGGCGAGTGCAGGGTTCGGAGTTCGCCGCCGACGAGCGTAGACGGCCGCGGAGGAGGAGGGCAGAAGAATGCCCAGGTCGCCGAGGATCGGCGGGAAGGGGGCGCGCAGTCGGCCGCCCCTCCAGCAGAACACCCTTCCATGAAAACGACCCCTGGCCAGAATCAGCGGGCGCAGGACCGCAAAAGTTGCGGGCGCAACACCCCCTCGAATAGGTGGCGAAAAAAAGCAAGTCGATCATCGACTTGGTCCGACTTCTCAAAGTCGGATGATGTCCCACGATGTTGCAGTTTTTGTTGGCGTCGCCGGATCTCAGGGAAGGCTCGGCCAGCAGGGCGCGGGGGGGTCGGCCAGCGGCCATTTCGGGGCTGCTGAGGCGCGCGAGCCGCTGGGCGAGGCACGCCCGCTTTGGCGAGGGGGGTCCTCGTGGGACCGAGGGGTCGAAGGTCGGGTTCGCGGGGTCGATGAGTCGAGATTTCTCGCAACTGCACAACGTCATTGACAGACCAGTGCCATCGCGCTTCATGCCTCTGGAAGGAAAGAAAGAAAGGAAAAAAGAAAGAAGGTCAGCTCCCCTCAGATCTGGGCGTCGCAACACAAAGAAAACTAGTTTGGCGAAGGACCAAACCACATGTAGTTGTGAAAACCGCAATTGTGAGTATCGCTTTCGGTGGATCTCCGTATGGGGCCACGAAGCGCGTGAAGGGTGTGCCAAACTGTGGCGGGGCCGCCCTGCGGACGCTGCCACTGGGGCCGTCGAGCATCGCGAGGAAAATGAAATGAAGGAGGGGGGCCAGCAACAAGGGTCACTGGGGGCTTCGGTGGAGCACCCAATGGGGCCACGAAGGTTCGCCGGAATGGGGTGTGGAACGGCATACGGGCGCAGTCACCGGGGCCTTCGGTGGAGCTCCCGACGGGACCACGAAGCGTGTGAGGGGCGTGCCGAAACGGATGCGGGCGGTGCCCATGGGGCCTTTGGTGGAGCTCCCTATGCGGCCTCGATGCGTGTAATGGGTTCGCCGTAATGGAGGGTGGAACCGCATGCGAGTGCTGCCACTGGGGCCTCCGATGAAGCTCCCTTTGCGGCCACGAAGCGTGTGAGAGGTTCGCCGAAGTGAGGCGTGGAACCGCATGCGGGCGCTGCCACTGGGGCCTTCGATGGAGCTCTCTATGCGGCCAGAAATGAGGGTGGAACCGCATGCGGGCGCTGCCACTGGGGCCTTCGGTGGAGCTCACCATGGGGCCACGAAACGTGTGAGGGGTGCACCGCAATGAGGCGTGGAAGTGCATGCGGGCACTGCCCATGGGGCCTCCGGTGGAGCTCCTCATGCGGCCACGAAGCGTTTGAGGGGTGTGCCGAAATGGGGGTGGAACCGCATGCGGGCGCTGCCCCTGGGGCCTTCGGCGAAGATCCCTATGGGGCCACGAAGCGTGTGAGGCGTGCACCGAAATGAGTGTGAAACTGCATGCGGGCGCTGCCACTGTGGCCTTTGGAAGAGCTCCCTATGGCGCCACGAAACGTGTGAAGGGGTGTGCCGAAATGGGGGCGGAACCACATGCGGGCGCTGCCGCTGTGGTCTTCGGTGGAGCTCCCTATGGGGCCACGAATCGTATGAGGGGTGCACCGCAGTGGGGGGTGGAACTGCGTGCGGGCGCTGCCACTGGGGCCTTCGGTGGAGCTACCTGTGGAGCCACGGAACGTGTGAGGGGTGTGCCGACATGGGGCGTGGAACTGCATGCGGGCGCTGCCCCTGTGGTCTTCGGTGGAGCTCCCTATGGGGCCGCGAAACGTGTGAGGGGTGTGACGAAGTGAGGGTGGAACCGCATGCGGGCGCTGCCCATAGGGGCCTTCGGTGGAGCTCCCCATGCGGCCACGAAACGGTTGAGGGGTTCGCCACAATATAAGATGGAACCGCATGCGGGCGCTGCCACTGGCCTTCGGTGCAGCTCCCTATGCGGCCAAGAAACGCGAGAGGGGTGCACCGCAATGGAGCGTGGAAGTGCATGCCTTCGGTGGAGCTCCCTATGCGGCCACGAAGCGTGTGAAGGGGTGTTCCGAAGTGGGGATGGAACTGCACGCAGGCGGTGCCCCTGGGGCCTCCGGTGGAACTCCCTATGGGGCCACGAAATCTGTGAGGGGTGTGCCGAAACGAGGGTGGAACCGCATGCGGGCGCTGCCACGGTGGCCTTCGGTGGAACTCCCGATGCGGCCACGAAACGTATGAGAGGTTCGCCGAAAGGGGGTGGAACCGGGTGGGGGCGCTGCCGCTGTGGCCTTCGGTGGAGCTACCTATGGCGCCACGAAACGTGTGAAGGGTGTGTCATGGCGATGATGGTGATGACGACAGCGATCATGATTGCGATGACGGTGGTGATGACAACGATGCTGATGATTACGATGGTTTCGGCGATGATGTGAATGATGGTGATGATGGTGATGATGATGATGAAGATGGTGATGATGATGGTAATGATGATAACGACTATGATGAAGATGATGATGGTGATGATGATGATGACGATGATGGTAATGATGATGGTGGTGATGGTGATGGTAATGGAGATGGTGGTTAGGATGGTGATGATGATGATGATGGTGATGATGGTGGTGATGATGATGACGATGGTGATGGTGATGGTGATGGTGATGGTGATGGTGATGGTGATGGTGATGGTGATGGTGATGGTGATGGTGATGGTGATGGTGATGGTGATGGTGATGGTGATGGTGATGGTGTTGGTGATGGTGATGGTGATGGTGATGGTGATGGTGATGGTGATGGTGATGGTGATGGTGAGGGTGAGGGTGATGGTGATGATGGCGATGATGTTGATGATGATGATGATGCTGGTGCGGATGATGACGATGATGATGATGATGATGATGCTGGTGATGATGATGGTGATGATGATGACGATGGTGATGGTGATGGTGATGATGATGATGATGATGATGATAATGATAATGGTGATGATGCTGATGATGGAGGAAGGAGGAGGGAGGAGGGGGAGGAGGAGAGGAGAGGACCCAACATTACAGGATGGTTGGGAACAAACACAGAAACAAGTATGATGTGTTATCACAGTGCCCGCGTTCGCGCGGCGCGGGAGGGCTATATCGGGATAAAAAGATGGCAGAGTGTACAGCAAGAGAGCCGCGTAGGAGGTGATCCGCGTGTATCCCAACTCCGCTGGGCCTCCCAGGAACCCACGAAAGTGGCGACAGTTGCGCAGATCGCAGCCCCCCAGAGGGCGCCGCGAGGTCCCGAAGTGATCCGCGTGTATCCCAACTCCGCTGGGCCTCCCAGGAGCCCACGAAAGTGGCGACAGTTGCGCAGATCGCAGCCCACCAGAGGGCGCCGCGAGGAGGAGGTAGGAGGCGGGAGGGAGGTGGGCGGGAGGACGGGGCGACCAGAGTGCTCTATTCAAAACGAGTACCCAACCAAAGGAGGGTTGGGAAATAACTCCTGTCTGTCGCATCCCAAATCGTGTTGGTAGGGCGGGCCGGGCGTTTCGCCTGAGACTTCGCCACTACGTGTGACCCTTACGCTTGATATGTGCAACAGTTTCGAAGAATGAAGGCGGGTGGCTTTCAAAATGCGCCTCTCGCATTAGCGCCGCGCATTTGTTGTCTGACGAGTCAGCAACAGTTCCAAGGATGCAGGGCGGGTGGCTTTCGAAATGTGGCCCTCGCCTTGGCG